AATAAACATCACTACTTTTTCTAACCAAGTCTTGTCTTTTCTGGTTTTGCTCATCTGGGTTCCTCGAGTCTTGACACCTTCTGCACATTTGTGCAGCCCAGTGCTGCAGAAAAAGCTTCCTCCTGCACCTTTGTGCAACCCTTACTGCAGGATAAACTTCCTGCTGCAGCTGATGAGCTGTTCACTGTGCAGAACGGAGAAGTGGGCGTTTAGAGTTTAGAAACATTGACAATATTGCAAGAGTGTGGGTAGAGTATCCCTACTTTATGTTTTTTCACTTATCGCAGGGCTTCAGGGTACAGATCCTCTGTGATAAACGAGGGACTACTGTATATATGTATTTACACATACATAAAATAGTCATGCTTGGTTTTCTATTTAAAAACAAACAAACACATAACAAAACATGTTGACATGTTTGGTCCGTAATGGTACATGGACCATGTTCACTTTTTTCAGACAGACTTGCAGCAATCTGCAGAGGAGGTTTCATCCCATCCCATATGCTGTGCAATAAAATGAGGTCATCTAAATAGGCAAGAATGGAATCTGTTTTTAGGAAAAACATAAAAATATAGATGTTTTGTGTGTGTGTTTTGAAGTCACAGACTCTGGGTTAATGCTGTATGGAGTAAACATAAGCATTTATTTGAAATTCAGTTAATTAGTTTTTTAGTAGGCATTGCAGCAAGGAAAAATATTTGACATTCTGATGATACATATTATCCATTCTGGGTTTATTTACGAGATATAATCTTTTTCCATACAATGTTTAATAATAACTTTCTTTTTTTGGTCATATACTAGTGCAACTCATTTAATTAAATCGTTCCTACAACTATGTATGTATATATATATATATATATATATATATATATATATATATATATTATTTTTTCATTAGTGTTTAACTTATTTATAGAGGTTTAGACATATACATAACTTTTTGGTAATTAATGTGAATAGGATCTGTAAAAGCCAGGATGTTGTTCAAACCATAATACAGATGGTTAAAATGTTTTAAGGACAGACCTTGAATAAATTTGTGTATTACTGTAATAAATGGGAAATAATTAAATGACCCGTTAAAAGAAATTTTGATTATAGGAGTCTTTATTTAAGGTAAGGTCTGACATGGAATATCCTGTTCTAAATGCCTTGAGGTCGGGATGCCGTGTCACATTACACAAGTATAATAATTTCCCTTCTCACATGGTCAGTGACAGCTATGCAACATTAAAATAAAATGTGGGCACAGTGTGGACGTGTGATGCTCACCATGGCTGCTTCATCTGACACAATGACATGGCTTCTAAGATTTGTGTACTAATATCATGTTGTCAGTCCTACACCATTAGGCAAGAAGTTTAATATTTTTATATTTAGCAATATAGGTTTTAGCCAACAATATAAATGTCATGAGAGACAGCAAAATCTGGGGTCAAAACTAGCACACAATCCACCCAAAAGGGGTTTATAACACAGATGCTCTTGCCACCGGATGTAACTGTCACTGGAAATTTGCACATTGAAATTTATGTAAAACCTTTTTCAAACAGCTGTAGTTAAATTACAAATTTACTTCAATACGAAAGCATTTGATAGACATTACAGACAAAATAAATACACAGAAAAATAGAGATTAAAGCCAAATTGAAAACTTTAATTAACATTATGCCATATTATTCACATAAGTTCATTTTTGGTCTTTATTGAAATGTTTGTTTTGTTGTCTACTTTTTATGTACAGTAGTTTGAGGATTTATACTATTGCAAAACCCAATTGTTACAGCAGTAATTAATAAAAGAGCACTAACAGAAATCAGTTATTTTAGAAATGTGGCAAGACATGTCCTAGTGTTATAAAATAGAAAATAAAATGAAAGCATAGCATTTACTGATATTCCTTCCTTGAGCATATTGCTCACCATCTCTCAAGCTAGACATTTAAACTGAAACCACCTTATGTAAGGGAGGGATTTAGTTCTAGCCATTTTATATCATTGTGTGCTATCTCATGCAATATTGTGATATATTACTTTATGTGATGCACTTGTGTCCTGTCAGCAAAATCCTGGTAAGCCCTCCCACTGCAGCACACACAAAAACAAAAACAACACAGGAAGAGCACGTTTGGCAGAGTGGATGTTTATTTTCAGTAGATAACTTTATTAAAAAAAAAAAAAATAGCTGGAACAGTCATAAAGATGGCTGTGCCAGCTGCTCTTCCGCAGAGAAGTTGGAGCAAAATGAGAGAATTGTATTTCATCCACATTTCTGCATAAACATGCCCACAAAGTTATGATCAGTCACACAATACTTAGTGTATACCCATGCAAGACAATCTGACAGGAAGTTGTACCCAAAACTATTTCTCGGAGGTGGAACAGAAACAAAATGGCATCAATTTTGTCATGCAGCCATGTCAACAACGAAACAATATAGACACATCTGATGAAGTGGAAATTAGCCTTAACAATAGAGTAGCAGAACAATAGACATGGGGTTTAAAACCAGCCAATGTTGGAACATTTAAACTCAGTGTGTTTATAATAATGACATAACATATCAGGTTTAATTTTCTACTTATAAATTTGCTTAGAGCAGCATGGTGGCACAGTGGGTAGAGCTGTCACGTCTCAGAAAGGAGGTCGCCGGATCAAATTCCAGACAGGGACCTTTCTGGGTGGAGTTTGTATGTTCGCTCCGTGTATGCATAGGGTTTCTCCAGGTACTGCGGTTTCCTCCCACAGAACAAAAACATGCATGTTAGTCTGATTGGTAACTCTAAATTGTCCCTAGGTGTGAGTGAGAGAGTGAATGGTTGTTTGTCTCAGTGTCTCTATATGTCCCTGTGATGGATTTACAACCTGTCCAGGGTGTCCCCCGACTCTCACACAGGTAAAGATGAAGGATGGATGGAAATTTGTTAAGTATGGGTAATTAATTTAATTAGAGATAGTAAAAAAAGAGTAAAAAAAAAAGCACAGATATCTAGGATACCAAATAATAAGCACCAGTTAATGTTATAAACTCAAACTCAGTATGTAGTGCAAACTAAAACTATTAACAAAGACAAGGTCAAACATTCTTTTTTTACTGTCTTGACTTTTCCTATTCTACATCACAGAGCAGAGGAGCAGTCAGGTTTAGTTTGGAAATCTTCTTGCTAAAAATGGCAGTGAAGTATTACACCGCTCATCTCTAACCCAACCACTGGGTCAATCTTACCCAACAGTTTTAACCCAACATTTAAGTTACCAAAAAAAACACAGCAATTTTTAGTGTGCACACACATATACTGCATAAGGAACTTCTTTTCAGTCATCATGCTTCAATATCACAAAAAAAGTTAAGTCAGGTCATCTGGACAGATGCTTCTTGGTTGAAACGTTTCGTCTTTCATCTGAAAGTCTTCATCAGTCTGAGGCCTGCCACACACTCAGTCGTATAAATAGCACCTTTTCAAAGTGGATCAAACCAGTCTGTTGGGGACTTCCAGAAACTAGCTTTTCACATATAAAAGGAGGACCGTCAGTCTAACATTCGATCATTAGTGACCTAATGGCCGTTTGCTATTCACCGAACCAGCCTGAGGACAACGTGGCCAAAGTGGCTGCTTCCAAATCTTCTCAGATTTCCATCATATTTGTATTTTCCTTTATGAAGACAACACCAAGGACAGCCTTTTACTCTCACTCACTGGCTTGAAACCGATTAGATAATTATGCTGTACTAATTGGATTCCTCCTACTTGATTTAAAACAACAGGAAAAAGTAAAGTGTGCTATGGGCCCACTTTGATCAAAACAAATAAAACATAAAAAGACAACCCTGGATAGAATTTGGGAGCGTACCCACTTCTTTGGACACAGCTGCGCTCTTTTCAGACCTCCTGAGAGGCACATGTGTGTGCGGTCTGTCTTCACGCCTCCTTGTCAGATTTATCACTTGAGTCAAAGGACAAGCACACACAACTTTTGCTCTGAAAGACACGTCACAGGAGCGCGGAGCGGGCTCACAGCAGAAGCAGACGTAGCTCAGAGAAGCTGATGGAGAGACCCTGTTGTGTCTCCTCTGGCTGAATTTGTGCATTTAAACAGAGATTTTGATTCTTTTTGACGGGAAAGGCAGCTTTATTCTCCTGCTGCAAAGCACAGAGGAGTCCCAAAAACCTTGGTAAGTACCAGCTTTACTTACAGTTAATCAGAATTAAATGCTTTTTATTGATGTTTAAACAGACGTCCAACTTATTGTTATTAGACTGCGATTTTATTTTTCCTTTATTTGGCTTTTAAACCTAATCTGAAGCCCCAGCTCAAAACACATTATCTCCAATAAAAATTTTTGCTAGACAAAAATTTACTTCTGCTTTTCTCATGCTAGCACATTAGAGAGCTACAATTACAAAATAATAAATACATAAATAAATAATCAAGAACTTATTCAATATCAAATTTGAATTTTTTGGTTATTCTGGCTGTGTCTCAAATTTCACATTTTGTTCTCTGTTGGGTAATCAGACAGGCTGTGTTGCTTGATCATAACGAATATGTTTAATGATCTTTTCTGCTTATGCTTAGACTGAAGTGGTTTTCTATTATAGCAATACTTATCTCAAATATACACAGTGGGATTTAAGTGTCCACTTCTGAAGCTAATTAACTGTACTGCCATTAGTAGGTGATGTTGGTTTGCTGAAAGTGACATGATCCTGATAAAATATATTTAAGTCCTTTGCTGCAGTCAAACTAATATGTAGTTTCTTTTGATAATAGCATGCTGCTTCAAATTCTCTGTAAGTGACACTGAGATTTCTGTTCCAGGTGAAGATGTCTCCCTTTTTACTCAAAAGAATCAGTTTCAAGACTTTAAAGTAACACTGGTGTGTTACGGTACAAAGAATTGTCTTTTTTATTTTTTTTTTAATTCAAATTGTTGGATTAAATATCTAAAATCCAAAATAATTCAAACAAGGAGAGCATGGAGGATCAAAATATCAGCCGGATCATAGCAGCCTCTGCTGAGATGCAGAACAATCACTTAGATGACAAGTTGGATCCCTATGTGGATAGCTATGACATGGACTACGGCATCCCTCTTGATGAGATCCCAGACACAACACAGGGTCAGGCCTTCTTTGTGGCCACCATCGTCATTGGCATTGTCCTCGTGTGCATCATGCTAGTTTGTGGGCTGGGAAACTTCATATTCATCGCCACGTTGACACGCTACAAAAAGCTGCGCAACCTCACCAACCTGCTCATCGCAAATCTGGCCATCTCGGATTTTATTGTGGCGGTGGTGTGTTGCCCATTCCTGGTGGACTACTATGTAGTGAAACAGCTTTCCTGGGATCATGGATTGATATTGTGCGCCTCTGTAAACTATCTCCGCACAGTGTCACTTTATGTGTCCACAAACGCACTGCTAGCCATAGCAGTTGACAGGTATGTTAATGCTTTTAAAAAAATCCAGTGTGTGTGTGTGTGCATATTCAAGTGTTTGTGTTTAGATATGTCCATGTGAATACGTTGTATGCTGCTGGGGACATTTCTCTATCGCAGTCAACCAAGATTTCGATCAATAAAGCTTCACTATAGTATTTTTCCTGCAATTTTCTCCCCTCCGTGCACCACAGAAAAGAAAGAAAAACAAAACAAAACACCCAACCTAATTTTGGTAAAGCTGTAGATGTCAATTCCATGGTGACAAGCAATAGAAAGTATTTTTAACTCTCTATTGAAAGCAAGGTTTTGTTTAATGTTGTTCGCAGTTCAGTTTTTCATCACCATACTCTGTCTAAGAGATGCTGAGCAACAAAAACACTGATGTAAAGGGTGTTTTTCACTCATCTTTGTGAAATGTCATCTATTTGAATGAAGTCTTCTACTTAGGTGCTTGTGGAAATGCTTGTGGTTTGGTTAACATCTTTGTGACACAAAATATACACTCTAACCTAATTTTTTTTGCACTTGATTCCAGTTTTACTCACTGAGACATCAACATTGTTAGCTAGGTGGGTAGAGGAACTTGTGCTGCTTTCATTTCTGCGTATGCAGGAAGAGGCTGAGGTCTGTTTATAATAGATATTGTGGCATAAGGACAATCTATGCATTTTATTCTCACTTAGATTAGAAAAATCCTTTTTTTTTTTTTGGAGGAAAAGGAAGCCCCAAAAGCAAGTGTATGCTCCAGTAGGAAGCTGAAAAGACAACAACAAAAAAGAAAAGTGTCATTTAGACTTGGAACCTTGCAGATCAAACAGAGCAGGGCAGAGTCATATACTGGCTCGTGGCAATGTGGGCAGTGTCATGTTAGCATATTCTAAGAGATGATAGAGAAAGCCTATAGTCATAACCTGGGCAGCCCACGGATAGAATACCATACATAATGCAACATCATTTTTGAAAATTGTGATGCTAATTTTGCTTGCAAAAAACAAACAATGGTCTTATTTCCATCACCTATTTTATGCTTCCACATCACAATGCATTTAAATGTGCTTCAGGATCATGACCACCTAAATCGAGTGGAGGCATAGAGAGCAGCAAGTGTCCATCCGATTGGCCAAATATCCTAATGGCACACCGTTTGTGAATATGTGGCACTTGAAAACATAATAGCATACCATTTACTGCAGCCCATGTAGCCCTTTGCCAAATTGAAACAGCTTATAGATATTACGAAGATGAATTTTTCATACACTCTGCAGCCCCTCAGCTCACTCTGGCTATTTTAAATTCTTTATAACACAACATGTAACAAATATCAGTATTTATTTTGCACACATATAAAATCAGATGTCCAGCAATAGAAATGAACAGATGACATGCTAGATTCTCAAAATGTTAGGAGTATTTTATTATATTATACAGTTTTTATTAAAACCTTTTTACTTTCTTATTTGGGGGAGGTGTGTGTGAGAGGTTCAGTATAATATAGATTATTGTATGTAATAGGAGGATTATTTGAATGTTAGCTTAACTAAAGCCTGCAAAGCTGTACCATTGGGACAAACATTAAGCTGAATGATTGTCCTAATGATACTGGTTAAATATAAATATATGCTAATATTTTTCTGAATCCCACATGCGCTTACATAAGTCCAGTTTTTCAAAAGTGGAGTTAAATCTTGTAAAAGTTCTACACTGTTCCACAAGCCTGAGGTTCAGATCGTGGGACCAGGACTTGTCGAAGCAGATGGTAGCTCATCCTGAGCCTGGTTCTGCTGGAGGTTTTGTTCTGTTAAAAGGGAGTTTTTCCTTTCCACTGTTGCCTTTGTGCTTGCTCAGGATGTGAGACTGTGATGAAGTGAAGATTCAACACATTCTACTGATTTTCTTAGATAAAAAACATTTACTAATTGGCTTTTTTATGAATGTGAATGTACAAAGTATTTGTTCATTGCCCTGACACAACTTCTGTTGTGATTTGGCGCTATATAAATAAACTGAACTGAATTGTGAATTTATCAGCTATAGTCCTGTTAGTGAAAGCAAAAAGCTTAATGCAAATTATATTTATGAACCTCTGTTATTTCTTGATACATCAAACTGAAAATAAGATTTGTAATAGTTAACAGCATATCTGTTATTTTAAAGTACGTGTAAAAATCTGTCAATGCATTTTATTTTTATAAGCCTTGGCTACTCAAAATTTACACCAGTACAAAATGTATCTGAGTCTTTATGTCTGTATTTTCTTTTGACGTGTATTGGTGCTAGTTTATTTAAAATATTCATCACGCATCAATGAACCGAGCAGAAAACTAGTCTGTTCACATATAAGGATTTTATTTTGGTCTAACTCTAAATGTGTAACTCTTACTGCACACATTAAAGTTAGTTGGATTCTGAACCAACACGCCATAGCTGCTGTAAGCAAGGTTTTCAAATGAATGCCCTTCACCAAATATCAGACAGTCACATTTGCTGGCACTCTTTAAAGCTGTGAACCGCATGAAGTTGGAGCATTTTTTTCTTAGAAGCTGGAAAGCTAAAAAGTAAAACCCAAAAAGAACGCTTTGTGAAAGTGAATATATGCAGCAAAGAGAAATGTATGAATAATTTATAGATCTGCTTCATAACTGCTGGATGTTGAAACGTGATGATTTGCTAACGTTCAGAATCTCTAGCAACTGTCCCAAAGTGGCTAATATATTAAAGTTGTTTTATTGTACTTGTTTAATAGCTGGGCAGTGAAACAGGTGACAAGGGAGTGTATATATACAGAAAAATTAATTCATTCATTCAAATCATTCATTTTTTGTTTTTTTGAGCGTCCAGAGGACCAGATTGAACTTTTTTGGATTTTCTACCTGGATTATTGAGCATGCATCAGGATAATTCATTCAACCTTTATTTAGACAGGTACAGTGCCTTACGAAAGTATTCGGCCCCATTGAACTTTTCAACCTTTTGCCACATTTCAGGCTTCAAACATAAAGATATAAAAAAATAATTTTTTGTGAAGAATCAACAACAAGTGGGCCACAATCGTGAAGTGGAATGAAATTTATTGGATGTGTCAAACTTTTTTAACAAATAAAAAACTGGAAAGTGGGGTGTGCAATATTATTGGGCCCCCTTGCGTTAATACTTTGTAGCGCCACCTTTTGCTGCAGTTCCAGCTGCAAGTCTCTTGGGGTATGTCTCTATCAGTTTTACACATCAAGAGACTGAAATTCTTGCCCATTCTTTCTTGCAAAACAGCTCGAGCTCAGTGAGGTTGGATGGAGAGCGTTTGTGAACAGCAGTCTTCAGCTCTTTCCACAGATTCTCGATTGGATTCAGGTCTGGACTTTGACTTGGTCATTCCAACACCTGGATATGTTTATTTGTGAACCATTCCATTGTAGATTTGGCTTTATGTTTTGGATCATTGTCTTGTTGGAAGATAAATCTCCGTCCCAGTCTCAGGTCTCTTGCAGACTCAAACAGGTTTTCTTCCAGAATGGTCCTGTATTTGGCCCCATCCATCTTCCCATCAATTCTGACCATCTTCCCTGTCCCTGCTGACAAAAGCAGGCCCAAACCATGATGCTGCCACCACCATGTTTGACAGTGGGGATGGTGTATTCAGGGTGATGAGCTGTGTTGCTTTTACGCCAAACATATCGTTTTGCATTGTGGCCAAACAGTTTGATTTTGGTTTCATCTGACCAGAGCACCTTCTTCCACATGTTTGGTGTGTCTCCCAGGTGCTTGTGACAAACTTTAAACAACACTTTTTATGGATATCTTTGAGAAATGGTTTTCTTCTTGCCACTCTTCCATAAAGGCCAGATTTGTGCAGCGTACGACTGATTGTTGTCCTATGGACAGACTCTCACACCTCAGCTGTAGATCTCTGCAGTTCATCCAGAGTGATCATAGGCCTCTTGGCTGCATCTCTGATCAGTCTTCTCCTTGTTCGAGATGAAAGTTTAGAGGGACGGCCAGGTCTTGGTAGATTTGCAGTGGTCTGATACTCCTTCCATTTCAATATGATTGCTTGCACAGTGCTCCTTGGGATGTTTAAAGCTTGGGAAATCTTTTTCTATCCACATCCGGCTTTAAACTTCTCCACAACAGTATCTCGGACCTGCCTGGTGTGTTCCTTGGTCTTCATGATGCTCTCTGCGCTTTGAACAGAACCCTGAGACTATCACAGAACAGGTGCCTTTATACGGAGACTTGATTACACACAGGTGAATTCTATTTTTTATTTTTTACATTATTCATTCAAACTTTTTTAGACAGGTAAATCCCATTGAGCCTCGAGGACTCATTTACAAGAGAGACCTGATATATTTATCATCATCAGTCATTTGGGACAACATTGGATCAGTCATAGATCCTCACTGAACTTCTGGAGTGAGTTTGCTGCACTGAAAGTAAAGGGGGCCCAATAATATTGCACGCCCCACTTTTCAGTTTTTTATTTGTTAAAAAAAGTTTGACACATCCAATAAATTTCATTCCCCTTCACAATTGTGTCCCACTTGTTGTTGATTCTTCACAAAAAATTAAAATTTTATATATTTACATTTGAAGCCTGAAATGTGGCGAAAGGTTGAAAAGTTCAAGGAGGCCGAATACTTTCGCAAGGCACTGTAAATCCCATTGAGTCTCAAGGACTCATTTACATTTACAAAAATGTTACAAAGTAGAGTGCATTTTAAGGACATAGGATAAGAGAACATGTGCAATAACAAGAAAATAAACATAGGTAATTTAAGGTGTAATTCTAAGTGTAAAAGAGCATGTGAACTTTTTCTGTCTTAATTTTTAAGGAATAACAAAGTAATGTTAAGGTGTTTATGATAAAACTGAATGTAATGTAAAACTGAACACCTTTTACGTCTGACATTAGTGTTTTACGGGTTAAGAAGGTATTTTAGTATGAAATAGCCCAGCTGCAATCACAGAACTTATCCATCTATCCATCCATACATCCATAATCTTTTACTTGCTTTTTCCATTTCTTGTCATGGGGGTCACTGGTGCCCATATCCAGCAGTCACTGAGGCGAAATACACCCTGGATAGAAAGCAAGTCCATTACTGGGCTTGGTCAGTCTTTTCCAGTTTTTTTCTTGTAAAAACTTTATTTTAGTTACGGAGTTTCTAATCCACCTTATTCCATGGCCCTATGGTGCCTTGTGTAAAATATTGGTGAGACTTCCGGCGCGGACCGAAACCAGCATTTGTTTATGTGCGAACGTTATGAGCTAATTCAAGGATTCGAGGTTCTTTACATAGAGGCACATGGAACAGCATTGTGTACACAGGGTCCCGGTTACATCCAACAAAATATGAATGTAAAAGAAAAACAGTAAGAAAAGTTAAGATATGGACTAAGAAAAACCTTAACTAACAATACACTAAGCATTAGTAGCATTAAAAAAAAAAACAATATGCCGAACAGCAGCACTAACATGAGTCTGTGTGAGCAGATGACCACGCATGAACACAGCAACATGAAACATATCAGCAGCAACATGATGTGATTTTTCACAGTGATTATCCTGGTTAGAGATTCATGAGTCTAACAGTTTCAGGGTAGAAGCTGTTCCTCAGTCGAGTGATTATACACTTAATGCTCCTCAACCTAATTCCTGAAGGAAGTGGGGCAAAAAGTGTGTATGCTGGGTGAGTGGGGTCCTTCATGGTGCAAGTGGTCCTCTTCCTGCATCTAGAGGTGTAGCTGTCTGTGATGGTGGGGAGGCTGACTCCAACAGTCTTCTGTGCAGCCTTCACCACTCTCTGCTAAGCTTTTCTTTTTGCAGCTGTGCAGCCTCCATGCCACACACTGATGCTGGAGCACAGGATGCTCTCCACTGCACACCTGCAGAAGGTGTGCAGGTCCTTGAGGCTCAATGGGCTTAACCTGTATAATTAAAGGTTGAATGAAAAGAAGGAGGTGATGACTGAACTTCCCAGACCAGCTCGCCTCAGCCGCCTGAGGAAGTAAAGTCTGATGGTCTTTCTTGATCAGGCTGGTGGTGTTGTTGCCCCAGCTGAGGTTGTCATTCAGGTGTAGTTTCTACAAGCACTCTGGATTTAATTTAAACTGAACACCACCTGTCAAACAGGACAATATAATCATACCACTTCCTGCTGCGTATGAACCATGGGAGGACAACCTGAAGAAGTGGCTGCAGATTACTTTTTTTTTTCCATTTACCCTTTATTTATACATGTAGTCTCATTGAGTCACGAGAACTCATTTACAAGAGAGACCTGTTTTTGGGATCAAATGGTGGGGGTTAAGGGCCTTGCTCAAGGGCCCAGAATGGGGCAAATAAGGATGGAGGCAGGTGTGGGTGTTTCACCTTTTCCACCCACATTTTGATGTTGATGGTACCAGGAGTCAACCATGCATTCCGATCACAGGCCCATCTTCTCTAACCTCTGCGCTACCACTCCCCCAAATAATATAATATAATTTAAGAAAAGCATACTTAGTTATTTCATTGACTCGGTTGCTTCTGTCAGTCAAGTGATGAACAACCTGAAAAGCTTTGAGGTGTGTTAGCATCTACACAGTAATAAGGTTGTTTGGTTTTGTTTAGAGGTGGGACACAATCTTATTTATCTTAAAGCAGACATAGAGCCCAGCCAAAGCCTTAAAGTCTTCCATTACTGAGCTTGGGTTAATTGCAGAGAAAACTGTAATATCAAAGATGAACAAACACTATCATGCTGTGTCCTCCATACACTTGGTGGCTATGGTTGAGTGGCTAGAGCAGTCGTCCTCCAATGCAAGAGTTGGGGGTTCGATTCCACCAGCTGTCACATGCCAAAATGTCCCTCAGCAAGACACTGAACCCCTCATTGCTTCTGATGTGTGTCCCATCAGTGTATGAATGTGATAAAGTACTGATTATTCTTTGTACAGAAATAGTAGAGTGCTGTATGAATGTGTAAATGAGGCCACATATTGTAGCATAAGCACTTTGAGTATGTGGATAAGATAGCAAAGTGCTATAACAGTCCATTTACCATTTACACTTGAAATCATACCTGATATTCTTGTCACACTGTTTTCAGTCCGAGCATCCGGCGTCTCTTCTCCGGTGATTTATCGTAGCCCAGCCATAAAGTAGGATACAGGTTTTCCTTCGTCGGCCGTTTGTCAGCAACGTGAAATGAGCACATACAGTGTTTTGGATGGTCTCTTCAAGTTCAGGTTTTTCAGCCACATTCTTCTTAATTCCTCATCTGTAGGTAGGCGATGGAAACTATACCACTTTTCAGAGGAACACCCTTTTTCTTTTTTTTTTTTTGGTTGCATATTCCAAACTCTGTTGTCGTAGCCACTGATTTAGTTTGGTCTGGTTGTTCGTGCAGCTGCGAACAACACAACAGGTACCTGAACTCTGCAAGGCTATTTGAGTAAACGTTCCAGTTGTTAAATAAATGTGAACAAAACAAAAACAGTGTTTTAAATGCTAAACTGAATGCAAATTACTTTCAAATAAACCACAATCTGTGCTCCACTACCATGGTTAACCAATACTTACTGCAACTTTCGGTGTCTGACAGGAAGTTGTACCCATAATCATTTATACAGTAGAGTCCCCAGGAATAAGGTGGATACATTACAAAAAAATCACAAGTGTAAGATATGATACTACTTACTTGTATTTTGAATTATTATGCATGAAATAAAATCAGAAACTATACAGATATTTTCATTAATGCATGTAGTTTTATTTATTTCCCATTAAAGTAGCTGCTTTATTGGAAATATATACAGTATTTAGATATATTTTAATGTGCCTAAAATGCCTAACAATATTTAAATTAAATGCAGGCCACAGGCACACTGAGTCAAATCGAAGTGGATATGCAAATATATTGTTTCACTAACATTACATTTGAGAGGGAGGAAGTGTCACTTTTTGCTTTCTCTGCATTTTCACCCATTGTTTGCACCAGTTTATTTATTTGTTTGTTTTTGTATATTTGATGATTCATAATGCGTGTTGTTGTCAGTGTTGATGAACGTTTTGCCACCTCTCATGGTTGAAATTAATTTCTTTCATGACCTATTTAAACATTTTGCACAAGGCCTGTTTTTGGCTCTCCCTGTCTTGTTTGTCTATGAGCTCAACAAAAACTATGTCCAAGTCTTCAGAATACAGCATCCATCATATCCACAACACAGTCAGAATTGAGCAAAAATGAATATTAATTAGCTCTTCTAATTTGATGTGGAAACGATAGCAAAAAAAAAAAAAACCTGGATATTTCAGCGACCCTTTTAGTGATTTTCTGCTGTCCTTTTGTCGGCAGACAGCCATTTTTTAAGTGCATTTAAATTGTTTTGGTTACACTAATGGTGGCATAAGTGACATGAGTGATGAGAAAAACCCAAATGAAACAACACATTCAACGATGCTCATGAAAACAGACAAAAGGTGCCTATCTAAACAGTCGACGGATATTAATTATTGGAAATCCTTCTATAGACAAAGGCGTTCCAATTTTTTTGTCAAAGTTTGAGGCAATGGTCAAAAAGTTTCACACCTGTTCATGGACATCCCAGGATGAGTCTTTAGAATTAGATGAGTCCACACTTTCATCCTCACTTCTTTAACTCTGTCAGTAAACTCATCTAGTTGTGGTGCAGTATCTATTGATGCATATCAATCTGAAAAGTACAAGCCCCCCGAAAAAAGGTTTTGGACACCGATGGTAAATAACCTGCTCCTCTACATGGTACTGATACACAAGTGCACATAATGTACCTAAGCTACTGTGGCATGTTTAAAGCTCTTTGTGAGTATTTCTAATTGGTTTGAGTCTAAAATATTACAGAAACGCTGGGTACTTGCTGTTAAGCCTCCCAGTCATTATTTTAATTTACAGAAGAAGAAACAGCTTACTGAATGCAGCTTGATGAGGAGAATCCACAGGCCTCCTGCTCTCATGCATTTATGTGATAATTTATTTTCTTTGTTCTCTGTCTGCATGTGGCACATGTGCCTCATGAATGAATGGTAAATGCACCAGGAAGTGGACTCTGCTGTGTACATTCTGTAAAAGAAGGGAAAAGAAATGGAATTTAGACTAAACATATTTTCAAAAACAACTCAGCCATTTAACACTTTCAGTTGTTTTTCACTGAATTTTATATATCAGAGTAACAAATACAGCCATATGTAACACAAGCAATGTGACAATAGGATAAGGGAAAACACTAGTTAAAACAGGTGAATATACTAAAAAATACAATGTAGCCCATCTACATTAATGGAGCTCATATGTCTTATCTTAAACTAGTGTGATCGTAAAAACATATCCTATTTCCTTGAAGTGTTGTCCTATTTAGAAATGTATATTACCTCATAGGGATGAGCAGTACAAAATGGAAGTGGCTACAAGCTGGCTCTTTGGCTGTGAAAAACAAACAAACCAGTTCTTAAGTTTAATTTCTTTCAAGGACCCATTTATGACCCAGCCTTGGTTCAGCACTATGATTATTTTAATGGAAAATTCATACTAATCTCTGGACTTCCAAGATATCAATACCTTTTGGAATCAAGCTCTTACTGGAAAGACCACAACCCATGAGCTACAGAGTTCAAAACAGTCATCTCTGTAATTCCAATACCCGACACAAGAACTCCTCAGAAATCCTTTTCCTGGCTGGGCAGTTTACACTGAAAGAGAGACCTCTTCCTCATTTGACTGGAAGTCATAAATGTTTTGTGTAAATATCCTAAAAAATTGCCCAGTACTAAAATGTAGTTTTTCATTAACTTAATCGTGGAGGACCAAGTATTCAATTTTATTCATCCATGTTTAGGTGACATTTGCTATTGTCTAAATCCAGCAAAGCAGGTGTCTTAAAAAGACTGCTTGATCTCTTAATTGTATAGCTTTATTTCATGGCTTGATGGAACAATTTGTCTGTGTTTTTTTAGGTACATGGCTATAGTCCATCCTCTGCAACCTCGTATGAAGTACCAAACTGCTTACTGCCTAATAACAGGAGTCTGGATTGTTCCCGTTCTGATATCAATTCCATCTGCCTACTTTGCATCTGAGACCACGTACCCTCATGGCGGCACCACCCCAAGTACTCACAAAGTTTTCTGTGCCCAGATATGGCCTGTGGACCAGCAGGCCTTCTATCGGTCCTACTTCCTGTTTGTTTTTGCAGTAGAGTTTGTTGGGCCAGTAATTGTCATGGCAATGTGTTATGCTCGCATCTCTCGTGAGCTGTGGTTCAAAAGCGTGCCAGGTTTCCAGACGGAGCAGATAAGGAAAAGGTTGCGTTGTCGCCGAAAGACAGTTTTGGTCCTTATCGCCATTTTAACAGCATACATCCTGTGCTGGGCACCGTACTACGGCTTCACTATTCTGCGAGATTTCCATCCAACACTTATCTCCCGCCAGAGGAACTCACTGGTGGCTTTTTACATTATTGAGTGCATTGCCATGAGCAACAGCATGATCAATACCTTCTGTTTTGTCAGTGTCAAGAATAACACAGTTAAGTACCTGAAGAAAATTGTACTTCTGCGCTGGAGGACATCGTATGTCCCAAGTAAAAATGTGGATGAAACTGATATAAGGACCTCCTCCATGCCTGTAACAGAGGAAATTGAATGCATTCACCTGAGGTGAAAGTAGCTGTGGCAACACAATCAACTTACTTTGACTGTTGACATTTAAAATCTATACTGTTCATGAAGAGTTTGGTTTGAAGTTCTTTCTCACATTCCAAAACAGTTCAGTTCTCCTGATTTACAAGGAAGCTTAAACAGCAGAGCTTTGGGATAGATGTGGTTCAGGAAGAAAAAAAATCTGACATCTGTTGGTTTTATCTTGCCTTTTTCTGTTCCACATGCTGAACCTAAATCTTTGGGATAGACAATAAACTCCACATTGCCTCCAGTTTGTTGATCAGTGTGCGGGTTTGTATTAAAGACAAAAGTATTGTGTGGATCGTGTACATACGGGGTTAACAAGCAGATACGTACTATGTGAACAGTGGGGGTTGGTTTGTAGTGTAAAACATTTTGAGTGATGAACAAGGTTTGAAATTCAACTAAAATACTGCCCTATGACATGTCACCTACATTTTGACCCTTCCTGGGGCAGGATTTTGCTAAGTCAACATTACATACAAAAAATGGTTCCTTTGAAAATGTAATTGTAACATTCACATTGTGCTATATATTGTATAAAGTGCACTGTAAACTGTTGGTGTGTAAGTTTTAATGGACTAACTTGTAATAGCCAATATGTTCCCTATGTATTGTTTGTATCAGCTGTGTTTGAAGTGACTTTCAGTGTCAACTTGATTTTTTTCTTCTATGCCTTTGTGTAAATATCGAATAACTGTTAATACCTTATTCAACAAAGATGCTTACTGTACCTTTTGTGATAAAAAAAAGCATGCTTTCTTTGCAGATAAGCAACTGATTTATGTTCAGGTAATAAATAATGAACATTGGGAACACAAACATCATTGAACTGTACTTTTTTTACATATATGTTTTCCACATTTTAAAGTTGTCTAAAACATTTTGAGTGATATTAATGGTAAATCCTAAAATATAATGTACTTTTTATTTAGTTTACTTTCTATTTATTTTTTTTATATTTTGAACATACCTTGTTTTGTAGAAAATAAACAGGAGATTCATTGATCAGGTACACGTCAAAACACGTTCAAAGATGTGAACGTGTTTGAGAGGACTTTAACACTGAAAAATATTCTTCAAGTGTTGTTTTCTACTAGTGAGTAAGGGAAGAAGCAAATCTATAAATATGAATTCTCTGGCTGCCTATAAATAATGAAAGTGTGCTTTTTTTTTTTTCCCCCAGTAAATTTATTGCAACTGTAAAGCGGATGAGAGCAAGAACTGATGAAACGACAACACTAGCCAAAAAATGTTGATGAAACTGTCAACAGCAAAATTAAAGTTCCAGCATCCCACGCCTCATGACGTGACATTTTGAATTTTGAAAGTCTTGGTGAAAATATATCCTGCTGGTGAATTTTACTTATCTGCTTGTTTTAAATTAAAGCACCAAAGTTAGAAATTCATTTTCTAGCAAGACATTTGAGAATACGTTGTGAGTTGCTGCTGATCTGTAATAAAAACCAAGATAGACTAGTTTACTAATTGACTGATAGGTGAATGTTATGATAGCTTCACAAAGACCTAATTATTTTAAATTAATACACGTAAATCAAACTGCAGTCAGTAAGCAAATAAGTAAACTTTATTTATTCAACACTTTTCATAGATAAAATCACAAAATGCTTTACAGAAATACAAAATACAGGCTTAAAATAAAACAAAAACAATAACAACAGCAGATTTAAAAAAAACCTGTAAGAACAGCTGATAAAAACAGAAATTTAAACATTTACCAGCAACTAAAAGCCTGTCTGAATAAAAGTGTCTTAAGCTGCTTTTTCAAGGAATTAACACAGACGACCACACAAAGAGACGGAGACAGGGTATTCTACAGCCTGGGAGCTACGGCCTGAAAGGATAGGTCACCTAGAGATTTAGGTCGTTTTCACACCAGATAGTCCGGTAGACTCGGTTCGGTTCGGGACCAATATTCATGACCTTTTGTTTACATTTGAGCTGGTGCGCTTGCATTCACGCTGCACTGTGCAGTCGAGCCAACCTGTTGAACCAACCTATTCCCCCGCTCGCCTGTGGGGGCGCTGCACCAAGAACTACTGAAAGAAACGACACAAAAACCTCTGAAGACACATCTTCTTCTTCTTCTTCTGTAAATAAAAATAAAAACGAAGTGGCATCAAATTTTAGCAGTTTTAGGAGTTATATTTTGTCGTTTTTCAAAAATGGACTTAGCATGAGCCCAAGATGAGGCAGAAGACCATGGAGAATATTGTTTTTCACACAAGGCAGCTGACGACTCCATATGAGGTAAGAGACATGTGTGTTTGTTTGCCCTGCGCTGTACTCCACTTCTCGCTTGTGGAGCGGGGCCCGGTCTGTTTACATTCACACTGTACTCGAACTGCGCTGGAGTTTGCTTCTACTGGACCGAGACCTAGGTTTTAGCCTGGGCCAGAGTTCGCCTTTTTGTTCCATGACAGAGTTCGATGGCGTGTTCACACCTCCCTAAACAAACCGGACTTTCTAGGAAAACGAGCTAGAGTTCGATTAAAGCGGACTAAACAGGGCTGGTGTGAATGCACCCTTAAACCAGGTCTTAGGGTAGTAGTCAACATTTGGTAGTAGTCAAGTAGTCAACATTTCAGTGATGTATTCATCATCATTTACTTTATTTCAGACACAATATAAGATCCATATAAAAAACAAAAAACAAAAAAACACTGAATTAAAAATATCCTGATGCATGCTCAATAATCCAGGTAGAAAAATCTAAAAAAGTTAAATCTGGTCCTCTGGACATTCAAAAAAACAACAACAAAGCAAATCAACAAAAAAATGTAGAAACGTTTCGTCTCTCATCCGAGAGACTTCCTCAGTCTGAGGAGCTGTATTCAGCTCAGTCTCTTAAATAGCACCGTCTCAGGGTGGATCAACCAGTTTTGCTGCTGACAACCAAAACCAGCTGATCACATGCTCAAGACGGACCATCAGCATAACAATGGATCATTAGCACACTGATGGCTGTTTACTACTCACAGAGGGCTGAGTGATACTAGCAATCACAGCATTGTAAGAGGGGGACAGTTGAACCCGGAGGCCTCCACCCCTGTTTAATGATGGACGATTTCTTTTCACAAAGATGGCCACCTTTACTCCTCTCTCAAACCATCGTTCCTCTCTGTCCAGGATGTGAACATCTTCATCCCTGAAAGAGTGACCGCTGGCCTGGAGATGAGTGTAGACCGCAGAGTCCTGGCCTGATGATGTTGATCTTCTGTGCTGGTCCATCCTTTTGGCCAGTGGCTGTTTAGTTTCCCCGATGTAAGACTGATCACAGCCCTCCTGACACTGAACAGCATACACAACATTACTCTGTTTGTGCCGGGGGACTGGATCTTTGGGATGAACCAGTCTTTGCCGTAATGTATTTTGGGGTTTAAAAGCCACTGGGACGTTATGTTTAGAAAATAAA